TCTGTCTAGCCGTCAGTTTGTGGATGATAAGACGAGCTCAAATGTAGTTGTGTCCCTTGCTGTCGAAGACTAATGAAGACAAGATCACGATCATTGATGATTGACCTTAGCATCCTATGCAACTTTAAAATGTTGTCTAGAAAGGCTTGGGCTACCGTTATAGTTAAATACAGGTGAGACAACGAGATGACGTGGGTATATTTACTCAATCGGTCAACCACCACATAAATGACACTCTTCATAAAATAGACCAGCAACCCTTTTATAAAATCATTAGAGATTTCTATCCAAACTTGATCTAGAATTGGCGAGGGATGCAATGTACTCGAGGTAGCCATAGTGCCCCCTTGTATCACACTCATCAACAAAGTTGTTCACATCGTGCTACATTTCTAGCCAATAAAATGATCTTGCCACCCTTTTTTGTGTCTTACGCACTCCTGAATGTCCTCCTTCAATGCTTGAGTGAAACTCTTGTAAAAGTTGAAATTTCAAAATTGACTTAGATCCTAGCACAAGCCGTCCCTTGTAACGCATTCGCCCTAGGTCCAAGTGACACCCGGATGGCCAGTAGGATCACATGAAAATAGCTACAATAATACCCTGCATCTCCATGTTTTCAACCCAACTCTGCTTAACATTCTCGAACTAGAGATGATGGGGAGAAGATATAGCCAAAATGATAGCACTGTTGGAAACTTCTTTCTAGCGAGATTATGCATCAGCAACCATGTTTTCACTACCCTTCTGGTACAAAATTTCATAGTCATACCCCATGAGTTTCTTGAGCCATTTTTGTTGAGCTAAAGTGACTACTAATTGTTTCAACATGAATTTCTAGCTATGATGATCTGTATGGACCGTAAAATGGCAGCCCAATAAACATGGTATTTATCTGGTAACTGCATGTACAATTGCTCACATCTCTTTCTCGTAGGTAGAGAGGCCCAGGTTGCATCCAGAAAGAGCCTTGCTTGTAAAGGCTATGGGTCATCCCTCTTGCATTAGCACCCGTCCCAAACCAATGCTAGAAGCATCACACTCCACCACAAAGATTTTTGGAAAAATATGGTAATGCAAGGACTAGTGTGGTGGTCATAGCCACCTTAAATTCTTCAAAAGCTTGCTTATCCTCAAGAGACCACATAAATGAATTTTTTTTTTTAGTATCAATTAATGACATGCTGATTTTCTCTATACTCCTTCACAAATCTTCGATAATATTCATTTAAACAAGGTCTAGAGCGTCTTTGGTTTAAGCCACTGAGTCATGCTAGCAATCTTAGATGGATCAACTGCTACTCCACCAACTGAAATAATATGACCAAAATAATCAAGCTCGCGACACCCAAACAGGCACTTGGAGTGCTTTACGAATAGTTTGTGTTTCCATAATGCATAAAGGGTTCACCTCTCATGTATTAAGTAGTCAAACCAGTAGGAGCTATAGATCAATATGTCATAAAAAATACTAGAATGAACTGGCGAAGATAGGGTTGAAGTACCTCATTCATATAAGCCTTTGGAAAGTGGATGGTGCATCTGTCAATCCAAACGGCATCACTAGAAACTCACAATGTCCTTCATGAGTGTGGAGGACGTCTTGTGCACATCGTCTGCACCCAGATTTGTTGGTAGCCGGACCTAAGATCTAACTTGCAGAAAAAACGAGCTCTATGTAGCTCGTCTAAGAGCTCATCCACCACTAGAATTGGATATCTATCTTTGATGGTGAGTCGGTTCAAGGCACGGTAGTAAACACATATGCGCCAGGAACCATCATTCTTTCAATTTGGTAAGACTAGTGAGGAGTATGTCCTTGTATAAGGTCGAATAATACCAACTTCAAGTATTTTACACACAAGCATTTCTATTTCATTATTCTGCACATACGATTACTGGTAAGGCCGCACATTTGCAGGTTGGCTCCTTGAAAGCAGGGGAATCCGATGGTCATGGGTCTGTTTTGGTGGTAGCCCCATAGGTTCCGCAAAGATATCTTCATATTCAAACAAGAGCGTCTCCATTTCTTGATCACCAGCCCCTTCATATTTAGCTGCAGTCAGACAAAAGCTGAGCCAACGCTCCTTTTCCACTTTTACTAATGAGCTTACCCATGCGAGATGGATCAATAAAGCATATTGCACCCTTCTAAGCCTTGCGTAAGACGTATTTTATTTCATCAAGGGTAAACTCCATTCACATTCATGAGAAGTCCCATAGTATGAGGCCCAACGTAATCAGCCACTGTACTCCCACGACCAAATCATATCCGCCAAGTGGCAATAGGCGCACATTAGCCGGGAAAGTGGTGCCCAGCAGCACCCAATTGAGATCCTTGCAGATTGCGTTGCTAATCAATTTGCCACCATCAGCTAAAAATACATCCAAGGGTGTGTTGGCTTACATTAGATAACTGATCCTCTTAGCATTGGAGCCGGGTCAAGATATCAGCGTGCTCTTCGTGTAGTCGTTCCAAGCCAATAGCTTGTGTGACATTTGTATGTCAAAACATCTGCACTCTTGGCTGAAGGTCCTCCCTATGTCTGCTGATAAAACAGTTGACATAGAATTCATTGGGAAGTCTCATTGTCCTGTTTGCAAATTGCTCCAATTGTTCCTAGTAGGCACTAACAGTGGAGGTTTGTTTTAGCTTGCAAAGGACACCAACAAACTTTTGTGCGCAGATCCCTGACGAACTCTGCTCATGGTACCAGTCCGGTGGCCTTCTTAACCAGTGGTACCACTACAGTGCCTTTCTTTCAAGTTGGATGGGGGCCAGAGCCACTTTCTGGCCTTTTGGGGTATTGTTATATTCAAAAAATTGCTCGACCCTATCTACCCACCCCAAGGGTTCCTCTCCATCAAATCTTGGAAAATCGACTTTTGTATACCTTGTTGGGGATGTTCTTGCAGCCGTTATCATTCACGGTGGTGTAGCCGCATTCAAGTCCCCCATTTCATATTGATGATTGACTAGAGAAGCCAACAATGCATCATATTTGAGTTCAATGGTAGCCACCATGCCGAATTTCCTGGAGAGCCTCACCATGCTTCTCCTAGTGTCATGTTGTATAGTTCCATCTGCCATGATTTCTTACCGTAGGTTCAAGGTTTGCTTTGATACCAAATGATAAGGATCAAGCAGTTAAATTCCCTCTTCGAGGAGGGTAACCTCAATTTCCAGCAAGAAAGAGGAGAGTAGTTTTTATTGACTGATTTTGCAATCTGGGTACAACTTTTTTGTTCTCCCTCTACAGTTATCAAATCTTCTTGAAAATTAGTTAGCAACTTTTAAGGAAACTATCCTAACAAATAGCTCTACTACAACTACAACTTACTATTTGAGTTAATTCAAAATAAGAAATTGACTCCTACTATTTAGGCCATGATTCTTATTCAAACTTACCCAAACAAGACCTAACATTTTTGGAAAAGAAAATTCAATAGAACTTAAGATTGAAAATTTAGAAAAACAAAAAATGTCAGATCAACGTCTTGAGCTCAAAATATGAGTTTTTATCTCTCCATAAAATACATTTTAATGCAAAAAAATAATTTAGAGCTATTGTAGATCAACAAGAAGTAAACTAAATGACAAGCTTGAGAAGTTCAGGTGAAAAAAATGAGGAAAAACATAAGACTGTCCAAGTTTAGTACCGTTCCTACTTGTTCCCATTCGTATATGGGAAATGTGCCAATCCAGTCCAGTTTTTTCGAGGACATATACTGGGCTCCTACAGGAGTATTCTACGCCTTTGGTCAAAACCCTAATTGAGGTCGATTGTTTTAATGAACCATTCAAGAATGGATGAAATTTCTATAAAGCCCTCATCTCAAATCCACATGTGGAAAGTACTTTTAGTAAACAGAGCAAACATAAATCTCCAAAATGGCTCTAAAATAAATTTTCAACACCCTCTAAAATAAATTTTCAACCGATAATAAAATTTAAAATTTTAAAAATAACAGAAAAATTATGGATCTATGAACACTTATTTTTAAAGCAAAATATACAATCATATAATTTGTTACATTATACACTATTTATAGAACTCGAAATCTAAATTTGTTTTCACACCTATAATGTTCAATTGGAGATGATCGATGTAAAGGTTTTTCCGATGCTTGAATTGCAGTTTTCAATTAGTTATTGAGGCTGCAGCCCTATCAAACCATTTTCCTATAACAATTATTAGATGGCTACTTCTAAAATAAAAAAATTGAACTTTTTAAGTTCTGTATCTGCCCTGAGTCTCTATTCAATCTTGAGGCCTATTTTCCTTTATTACATAGAGAATTAATTTTCAATTTTTTTTGCTAAAATTATTCCATTGTGGTAAAAAAAATTTACAACTCTCTTTGAAATCTTGTGCTGAAATCATTTCATAGGTAGTAAAATTGCATCCCAAATTTCAGATCTAAAAAATATGGGAAATTATCAGAAATATATCTGACAAATTAAAAAAAAAAAACCTTTAATTTTCATAAACCTCATGCATACCCTTTTTCCTCAGTTTTGACATTTAAACTACTTCGAGTTATCATGCCATATAAAATATGATAGTCATTACGGTTAATGCTAAAGTTTACGGTAATACTAGTGTGAAGGCCATTTTGATTAAAAAAATACCAAGAAGGTGTATAAAGTTTATAAAAGTTGAAGGTTTATTTTCAATTACAAAAAATAAAAGTATATTTATGTTAATTTCCCAAGAAATATCTCTAGCATGAATTTTGCTAGAGGAAATTGAAAGTCCACTCCACTGAGGGTAGCAAACATTTCAGCATTTTTCAAACCCAATATGTATAATCCTCCTAATTGCAGTTTGATCCACATTTACCAGGAAAATCAACACGGCCTTGAATTGTAATCAACCAAAAACGACAATTATAACCAAACTAAGTGGAAAATCAGATCTCAGGCTTGTGAGGGGTAGAAGTTGGGGAACTTCCTCAATATCGACGAAAGGTTTATGAGTTTGTTTATGAGTTTGAACTAAATCAACAGGAAAAATAATATGACCACAAATTTCACCATGTCTAGCAATCAAATCAACAAATATTTTTGTGAGTTCACAAGAGTTGATAATCTTAAGACCAAAAAACTGGAAAAGATCTCCATATCCTCCCTAATTCCTACTTTCTCTATGCGCTAAAGAAGCCAAAATCAAGTACAAATACACTTGCACCGCAAACTCTCACAAAGACAGAGAGAGGGGTTTGCTCAAAGCTCGCCGCCGCCTTGGGCCTGCTTCATCTTGCCCGCAACTTCATCAGTTGCCTGAGAAACCTTCTCCTTGGCAGCTTCATACTGCACCTTAGCTTGATGAGTCATGGTGTCCTTAGCGCTTCCATAGGCCTCATCAGCTTTATGCTTCGCTTCCTCGACACGATGGCTTGCCGAATTCATGGCTTCATCTTTCCCATCCTTAATCTTGTCGCTCATATCCCCTGCCTTCTCCTTTGCAGCTCCAGTTGCTTGCGCTGCCTTGTCTGAAGCATACTCTCCAGCTCCTACACCAAATCACCAATAGACCACTCCATTTTCACTCTCGGTGTTTACTTTTTACCAAGGGAAAATCATTCATAAACAAACCCCCATTTTAAGAGGAAATTCTTAAACAAACCCCCATGTTTCCTTTTGGTTTTGCCAAATTTTTTCTTCTAGTTAAGGTTTCCTTCCCCTGCCATTTTAAAGTGAGGTTTCTAGTCACACACAAAAAAAACTTAATAACAAATGAAAAAGTATATCATAAGACCATTTTTCTAGTAAAAGGTGATACAATTAATCTCAACTTTTAGATATGACATGGGGTGGTTGCATTTATTCCATTGACCATGCACAAAATTCAAAAGAAATTCTCTTGACTCATGTGATACTCACTCTATTAAATGTCACCTTAAATGGTTATAAACAATTGTGACCTCTAATAAGGTATAATAAATAAATAAAAAAGTTTATATAGAGCCGAGGCTCTAAACCATCAAATTAGAGACTACTTCAAAATTTTCACTAAAAGAGGTTGTTTGATGCCCAAATGTCTTCAAATTGATCATCTCAACATCTAGATGCATGGACACGAGAAAAAAATGGATTTCAAGTTTTCAAAATGGTGTATTTTGTAACGTATTTTTGGAACGCCAATTTTCAAGATTTCAAGTTTTCATAGATCTATCAATCTACACTATTTTTTAAGCTTTAAACTGTATAAATAAAGATGAAAATATATTTTAAAGCTATCACAAAAATTTCAAGTATTGAAACCACATTTCTTGATACCATTTGAAGGTAGCCTCTAATTTGATTGTTTAGAGCCTAGGTTCTGTACAAACCGCACCCATAAATAAATGAACTCATTGAATACAATCCCATAACCTCATATTTGTGATCCTTATATCTATGTTTCATTTTGCATTTAATTAAGGGAATGCTTTCCATGTGAGCCCACTCACAAATATAGTATATGTGATCCTTGATCTTAAACATCAGATCTGAGTCAATGGCAAAAATGGCTTAAGGGAAGTGATAAAAATGTTAAAAAATATTTTCTAAGACAAAAAATTACCAAAATATCCCTGAATCTGAAAAGCATTTTGATCATTTATTTCGAAGAGAAATATTTTATTTTTTATTTTTTTATTTTTGCTAAGTGCATCACAGGAAAGAGAAGGAGATGGGACTGGTAAAAAAGGGGCATCAAGGCCCTAAAACATTCTTGTTTTAAAAGAATTCTAAACACTATAGAACCCAAAATGAGTGCCAATAACGTTAGACTACGTGGCAAGAGCAACAAATTATCAAGTAAACAAAAGAACAGAGAGGTCGGTTAGATTTCGTAGCCAGACAGTTGGAATCACGAATGCTTCACATTATGGATCCCAAACTGTTTTGATCCTAAACCATTATTCTGCATCATGTAATTCTTTCATTCAATTCATCTAAATTTCATTAAAAGGAAAAAAAACAAAGGAAAAAGAAAAAGAAAATTAATAAAAAAATTACCATTAGTCCTCACACTAATTTATGGAAAATCTTACTGTACTTCCCCACCGATATATTTTTTCTATTTTTTTACAAATCTCATCTCCCGGCCATTTGATCTGTATGGATGGCAGCCATAACGCCACAAGTACTTGTGACAATGTTACAAGTACTGCATGATCTAGATCTGTCGTCCTAGAGTATTTTATTTTTAATTTTTTATTAATCATATAAATATGATAGAGCGTACCTAAAAAAATATTAAAAAATATTTTCAAAAATAAAATGATAAAAATACCCCTTTAAACTTTCTACAAAAATTTTCATCATTTTAGTTTCTGAAAATATTTTTTTAATATTCTTTGCGAGTGCAAGTTTGAGAAAGTGAACCCTCCATATGTGGTGTCAAAATATTTGTAAAAACAATTAAAATAAAAATAGTGTATAAGTGATTGGGACCATCTTGGCCGTGCATTATGGCTGGGAGACAAGGGGATGTATAAAAAATATATATGGGTGGGAAAGTATAGTAAATTTTCCTTAAATTATTAGTTTATGTTTTGCTTCTTATAAAATCATCCATTGCTCAAATTGAGGTCACAAATCCTAGGACCTGATTGTATGCAAGAATAACATGATTGTATACAAGCATGCGTATATGGTACACCATGGAATCATCAATCAACAAATATAATAAACGAACCCTGTAATTTAAGTAATGGCACAGAAGGTGGGCAGTAGGTTATGGTTTTTTACCAGATGCAATATCGGACATCTTATCCTTGCTCATCTGTGCAGCACCAGCCATTATTTCCTTCGCTTGCTTTGCAAATTCCGCAGCTCCGCCTCCGGCTTCGTCTGCAATATTTTGGGCCTTCAACTTTGTCTCAGGTTTCATACCAAATCCCCTGAAACCTCCATCCCAAGCCAAAACCATCACAAAACCACTCTAAATTTATGTGTGTGAAAGATGTATTTCCTTCTATTTCCTTGTTAACTTAAAATCTCACTGATATTGTATCAAGATGTACATTAAGTGCTATATACAATTTGGAAAAAGGAATTAAAAAAGAAAAGAACCATACACTTTGGCACACATCTATAAGGAAAAAGGTCTAGTAACCTGCAAAAACCATGCATTTAGAAAAGCGATCCTACACTTAGGCTTTAGAGAGAGAGACTGACTCTGAGAATTTGTCTTTGGCCCATTGAGCCCAGGACTCAGCCATTTCCTCCATATTATCATCGGTTTCATGGCCTGCTACCTCGGCTTTACATATCACAGTGCACCAAATTATGAACATGAAGACCACCAAGAACCTCAAAGAAACCATTCTCCCTCTTTCTTTTCTCTTTCAACCCGATCCAAGAGTTATTACAAGTTCAGAAAGCTTTTGTTGGGTGCGAAATGGATGGAGGGATTCAAAAGGCTTAGAAGCGCGTATTATAGAGGGAACGGTTGCGAACAAAACGAGTCTTATTTTGTGAAGTAGTGGGTACAAAGTCTTTGCCTCGTTTACAGGACAAGTGTCTAGCTTTGCTTAGATTTTTGCCACGAATATTGAGTGAGACCAACGGAGGAAGACTAGGGGCGGTTTGATTACCTCAAAATCTATTTCACGAAAACGGAAATATAAGATTTAGTATACTTTAATCGTAAAAAAAATAGAAATAAGTTAGAGAAGATTTTCCAAAATACGTGAAATTCATTTGTGGTGCCAATCTTTTTCACTTATAAGTGGTTGCACTGTATATCCATTTCTACACCTTCCCACGCACATCTATTTTTACTTCCTTTTAACCAAATACAAAATTTCAACTGTATATCCATTTCTACGCCATCCCGGGCACATCTATTTTTACTTCCTTTTATCTCAATTTGGTTGAATTTTTACTTCTTTTTATCTCAATTTGGTTGTAGCCCTCATTTGAATTTGATTGTAGCCCTCATTTGAAGTTAAGTCTTTTTTTAAAAAAAAAATAATTTTTTGATAAATTATATTTTATAATAATTTTTTGATAAATTATATTTGATAAGTTATTAGATTACTAAATCTTAAAAAAAAAAAAAAAATAAATAAATAATAAAAATTGAGATTAAAGTTTAGATAGAGACGAAAAAAATGATAAATTACTTACAATATATTAGCTATATATTTTTTTTCCATATTGGCTTCCTCCAATATCTCAATTTAATTTTTAAAATACTTTACCATTTCACAATAAATTTTTTTAAAATACATTATCATTTACTATTTAAACTACAAATTACTGATATTTAAAAGTTGTGACTAAAATAGTTCACTCAATGTTGATGACCAATATTAATTTAAGTTATTATTCTTTGAGGCATGACAATGCCATCTATACATATGCATTTCAATATTAAAGAGGAATGTCTACAAAGAAACTATTTATTTTTGTGAATAGAGGTCACAATCGTTCTCAATATTAAATAAGAATGTCTACAAAGAAACCATTTATTTTTGTGAATGGAGGTGAATCATGAAGTGAATTTTTTTAAAAAAAATTTTGTATTTGTTCAATGACATTAAATACAACAACCCATTTTAAAATTTAAAGGATAAGAATGATTATACGTACAAAGATAAATGGTCTCTTTGTAGACAATTCCATATTAAATCGTTATGTCCAATAAGAGCAATGTAAGAGCAAATTTAAGGTACAATATAGACAAGTCCATATTGAACCATATGGAGTAAGATCAATGTATTTCTTAGGTTGCATCTAAAATACTACCCTAACAGTAACAATCAATTTGCATGTAAGGTATTACGCTAGTAATATATTTCAGATACAATATATTTCCAGCTATCTAAACAATCCCTATGGGGTAGCAATTGAGTGGGTGGCCGGCCCGCCCTGCCCTAAAAAGTTAGGGCGTGAGCCATAAATGTGGTAAGGAGCCGGGCCTACGCTAGGCCAAGACAAACCCAGTTCAGTTTGGCCTGCCCCACCTTTATTTTTTTTTAGAGTGATTAATGTATGGATCCAAAAATTTTACTTAAAATACGAAATACTCCGTTTATAGGCAAAATTACAAGGAGGGTCGGTCAACCCGCATTTTTATTATTTTTTTAAAAAATTGACCCTTGGTCCGAGGATGCTATCCTTGAACTGCATTTTAATTTATTTTTTTTTAGTTTTATCTTTAGTAGGGAAGTGCCCCAAGCTCTAAGGGCAATGCCCATGCGGTCCGAGGCTTGAATCCTTGGACTACCCTTTGGTTCTTGAGTAGTTCGAGGTCCCCATCTTCGGATTGCTCTTTTTTTCTTATTTTTTAAGAAAGAAATAATCTGAGGTCGCCATCCTCGTACCGCACTATAGGTCTCATTTTTCGAGAAAAACAAGGTCTGAAGATGAGAACCTTGGACTGCTCTCTAGATTGAGCACAACTCAGTTTTAGGGCGGTTTGAGGTCCCCATCATCGGACCGCCACTCTTTATTTTTAATTTTTGAGATAAACAGCAGTATGAGGATGGAGACCTCGGATTGCTCAGCATCCGTCTTAAGATTCAAACCTTAGATCACTTGGGCATTGCCCCTAAAGCTGGGGACACTGCCCCTAAAGCTTGGGGCATTGGCCTACTAGTGAAAAAACTAAAAAAAAAATAATTAAGATGCAATTCGACATGCCATCCTCGGACTGACCGGAAATAACTTCCTCCTCCTTAACTCATTGCTTGTCTTGTTCTTTAACGTCCACCCCTTCAAGTCAGTGCCATGTATAGCGGACTCCTACACAATTGAGATGGCAAATCTGGATAATAATTTATAGAAGTGTTGGCACGCTCACGTGGCTTGCCCTACTGTGGCCTTCACTAGTTTTGTAAGAAGAATTATATGTTTTATTTAAGGTTGTCAATTTATAAAATTTTTTTAACATAATTAATTATTTTATAAAGCTTTTTTTTTTCCAACTTTCATATAGATGAGCATCCTTAATATCAGAGAAGTAGTTTTCTTGACACCTTTTGGAGAAAAAGGAGGGAGAAAAAGGAGAGTTGACCTATCTTTTTCCTGTAAATATGAGAAGAGAGAGAGGAAGATACAACAAAAACACATTGACACGCGGAGGTTCATCTTCTTCCTATAAATATGGGAAGTGATAGAGAGGAAGATACTATAAAAACCCACAGCAAAGAAAATACAGAGCATAGGTTTTTTTCTCTCTAAAAAAAATAGGTTCCTAATCTAAAATTCGAGTTCTTTTTTTCTCCCTAAAAACAAAAAAGGTTTCTAATTCAAAATTCGAGCTCTGAGATCACCAACCTCACAGCACATCTTTTTTTATCTCGGGTTTGATGTTCATCTACGCTCCATCAATTTTTACTAATATTGATATCAGAGCGATTTAGGTTTCATCTTCCCTATTATTCGGAATATTTTTTAGTGGTGGAACTTATGTGATTTTCCGTCACTCTCTATACGCATCGTGTTTGGCACGATCTTTGCTCTTTTTTTTTTTTTTGGAAATCGTGGGTTCGTACCATTTACATATTCTCTCCATGAAACATTGCGTTTTGCGGGTGAGCCTGCACTTTGGTGTAAATTGTTTTTAAAAACCCAATTCTCATATTAAACAGCGGGCCCCACCCATTCGAAGGGGTTTCACCACAAGCAATTGTTTTTCCTTTTTTCGTTGAAAAGTCAAAACAGTTTTCTCTAGGTGAATCCAATAGTTGTTTTCTTTTGTGCGTTGAAAAGTCAAAGAAAGGTAGAGTTTCTTTAGGCGAAAGAAATAGTGTCCTTAGGTCAAAGTTTAGAGAGAGAAAATAACATTAGAGAGAGAAACGGGTGGGGAAAGATGATATTTTTTTCCTCCATTTTTTTTTATAAGCAAAGGTTGGTCCACTCTCTCTCGCATTTCTTTTTTTAAAACGTTGGGAAACACCACATAACAGAGTCACATATTGTTTAAGGGCAAGCTTTCAATCCCACATTCTGAATGAAGGGTTAAAATTGTTGCGATCACAATGTCATGTATCTATACTATTTTATTTGTAATATTTTTTCTATAAATTATTTTGACACCAAATTTGGACATTCAATCTTTTATTAAACTCGCACCAGCAAAAAATATAAAAAAATATTTCTAATAAAATAAAATGACCAAAATCCTTGAAAGTTTCAAGAGGTATTTAGGTCATTATATTTTATCAAAAATTTATTTTTAATATTTTTATTGGTGGGCCCCAATGAAAAGATGGAACTTACCAAATTTTATATTCATACAATTTGTATAAAATAAAATAAAAATAAAATAATTTAAGATGCGGATCTAAGATCAAACGGTCAGTGGCTCTCTTGATCAAAATTGGAAGGCTGGTTGGTAGGGGAAGCATAAATCTTCTATGCTATAGGGGAAGTATAGAAACCTTTCGCATTTTTAATGCCCTGGTAATAAAATAGAGTTTATTGATTTTCTATATTCCATGTGATTAGTAGATAGAATACTTTATCGTTTTTTCATATAGAGCACAAAAAAGACAAAATAAATAGGTTAATAAAGAAATATCTTATTCCAAAACTAAATAATGTGGAATTTTCATTCAATAAAAAAGAGAGAGCAATGAGTTATTCAATGTAGTCCACTTAGATATTTGTGGGCCTCTCAATATTAAAACTCATTGAGAGATGGCTTACTTCATCACTTTTATTGACAATTTTTATTTGATAATGTTTATCTAATTCACCATAAATCAGAAACCTTAGAAATATTTAAAATATATATAAAAATAAATAAAAACTAATTAGATAGGAACATCAAAGTTCTTAGATCTGATAGGGGAGGTCTATTCTATTTTTGTATCGTCCCTCTTTTATTTACAATGCAAAAAAGATTCAATTATTTCATCTTTTCCATATCATTCTCGTCTCTTTTATTTATGAGCGTCCTCAAATACTCAATTTGTCTCTTTCATTTATCAGCGTTGTCGAATACTCAATTCTTTTGGTTCTTCATAGATTCAATTGTTTCTTTCATATAATTCTCGTCTCTTTCATTTATTAGTGTCGTTGAATACTCAATTGCATTGTTGCTAATCATAAATTGAGCTTGACGTAGGTCCACATCACTCTTCGAAATAACCTTTGTTTTAACCAGAATTGTAATTGTGACGTCAAATACTTCCCCCATGAACTCAACTCTTTATCAAAAGAAAAGTAAAAAAAAAAAAAATTCGTATAGAACTCTAATTCCTTGTATTATTTCATGGTAGACCTTCCTTTTGTTTTTCTTTCAAGCAGCATATGAAATCTTTCTTTTAAGTGGCATACGAAAACCTCCAAGAATTTTACTGTACCCTCTCATCTCTTATCTCTTTCTTTTATTGACTTTTGATTATAAAAATTAGCCTCAACAAATTTTTTTTTATATTATTTTATCCCAAAAACGTGTTT